CGTATCGTTGGCTAATTGACGCCTTCATTAAATAAACCATGTACGTCATGCTGAGAATCTGCATTTATTCCCTGGTGACAAGCTGTGACGGATGGCACGACAATCTAATTAGCAAGAAAGCGCCATTTCATTAGTAGGTTTTATTAAACAGGGTCGGGCGTCGTTCTTGTGTGATACACAGAGTGATAGATCGGGATGCACCCTCGCATGTGCTAGGGGGAGCACCGAACTCTAATAATGAATATTTGTAGTGCGAAAGGAGCGGTAATGTTCCTTACGGGTGCATGCTTTTTATTTGATTCGGGAATGTCAGGAATTTCATTTCGTTTGAGATGATTCATGCTGAGACTGTCCCTACTCCCAAATACAACTCTAGCACTTTTCTCTTGTATACAGCTGTCGAGGTGCGGATTTATTTCTAAATGTCAATTGTAATGAAGTAATGAACTCAACACAGGACGACAAAAAAAATCATGTTTTGACAACTTGACAAATTATTTCAAATTATTTATCATTTTGTTCGTTTAAGTGAGAGAAATCAAATGCACTAAAAAATTTTTAAAAAGTCCACACACTTTCAACTAAATGATTTTTTTCTAATTTAAATGAATTTGAAATACTTTAATTAAAAAAAAAATCATTACTCAATAACTACAGGCTGTATTATGAAAAACGCCCCAAGCCATAACTCCATTATTTTTAAAGTTATGACAATACTTCTTAGAACAAAGTTGAACAATTTGAAATTGAATATTGGCGAACTTTTCTTCGAACAGTGTTCGAAGTAAATCGAAGTAATTTTCATTACCATCGTGTAGAGCATCTTTTATTAGTTAGAAATCAAATTTTTGAAAGAATCTATTGATGAGTTTTCAAGATATGATTTTTTGAAGTTAAGGTTTGCTAATCAAGTATTGCGCCATATACAGGGTGCGCCAGAACTCGCCATATAAGATAAGATACTAGGAACATGAAAAAAATGTTTTATCTATAAAAATTTCAAAGTTATGAGGGTTTAAATTTTGCACTTTGACTCTATTTATTTCTGTTGGAAAAACAATTTTCCAAGTTTTTTTGCTATAGTCCATTAAAAGAGGAAACAAAATGCAATTTTAAGTAAGATTAAAATGAATTTCTCCTATATGGCGCAAACTTCAACTTCAAAAAATCATATCTTGAAAACTACTCAATATATTCTTTTAAGAATTTGGATTACAACTAATAAAGAGATGCTCTACACGATGGTAATGATGAAAAAGAAAAAAAAATACTCGTAGTGTTTTTCTTAGATTACTTCGATTTACTTCGAACTTCTTCGAAGACTGTTCGAAGAAAAATTTGCCAATATTTAATTTCAAATTGCATATCATTCTAAAGGGCAAGTCCATCCCTTTAGAATGGTCTTTATTTGAAGAAAATCGACCTAACAGTTATTGAGTAATGATTTTTTAAAATTAAAGTATTTCAAATTCATTTAAACTAGAAAAAAAAAATTAGTTCAAAGTCTGTAGACTTTTTGGAAAAACTTTTAGTGCATTTGATTTGTCTCACTGAGACGAACAAAATGATATATAATTTGTCAAGTTGTCACGATATGACTTTTTTTTGTCGCCCTGTGTCGTCAAAAAAAATCATAAAATCGCATTTTTATAGTTGTAGAGTGTAGATCTTGTAATTTGTAATAAATCAGAACCATTTTAGGTTAATAATAAAAAAAATTATCCGCAAACATCACAGAAGTTACTAAATGTCACAATTAAGCCATGGAGTAAAAATTCTATTTTTGCGCCTAAGCGTTTTTACTTTTACCATGACATAATGTTGTTTTTTTCGCTGCTTCAGCAAGCTACATTGTAGATCATCAACATTTGACATTTTGCACTACTAACTGCACTAGTTAAATTAATAAACACTTTCGAAAATCTCAACACAAATTATGATTTCATTGATTATTTTGTTCATTTACTTGATAATTATAGTGCTGCTCTTTACTCTTGATTTGAATACGTTTACGGATAAAATAGTATGTGTTATAATAAATAATATAATTATTTAATATAAAGCTGGGGACAATTTTAAAACGTTGAGCATCAATAAGCCGTACTAAAAAAGCGATTTTCGGATTTCTAAAGAGGTAAAATCGACAGATGGCCGAGTTGTGGTGGATTACGTAGTACATAAAGCAAGTTATTACAGTGACTGGAGTTGGAGAATAGAAATACTCTCTATATCACCCAAAATTTGTGAAGAAGCGCTAAGGAATGTCCAAGGACGGACCTCTCCTTGAAGAAGAGGAAGTTTATTTGAAATGAGAAGAGGTAGTAAATATATTAGAAAACTTTATTAAGTATTCTGCATCGTAAGAAAAGATGTAGAATTACTTGGGACAGCTTTTAATAAAAATTAGAATGCTGTAAAAAATGTGATGTGTTTGTTTTGTTTGTAAGATGTGCGATTTTCTTCAAAATGACAACTTATATGAATTTTTTTTCGGTAAAAATTGAATAAAATGTAGATAGTTGTAACCCTTAAACCATGGCCTTTGTAAAAAAAGTTTTATTAAAAAAATTACAAATTTCGTAGTACTTAAAAATTAAAAAAA